TTCTTGTAAATAACAGCCGAATGTTTACTAATATTTTAATATCTGTCATATTTACTTTGTAGAAAAATATTCGGCACCCCCTCAAATTTAAGAAGGACCGATTTATCAGTATTTAACTAGTTCAGGATTAAATCTCATAAACAAATGGCGTATTTATGTAAATATTTCGTATTCCGATTTATCAATATTTAAGTAGTTCACGATTAAATATCGTAAACAAATTCACAACAAATAGCGTATAGAATGAGAGTATTTTCGTATTTTTAACACTGATCAAGTCGATACTTCAGATAAATAAGTTAATGTTAATTTAGGTATTCAAGGACGAAAATTGGAATGTTATTTAGTAACTGAATTTTTATTAAGTGCATTTCACGCATGAGAAACTGGTTGAGATGATTGAGGTGTGTCGTGGGAGCGAAAAAGTGAGAAACTGCGTAAAAATGAGACCCTTCCCGTTTCATTTAAGTAGTTTCAGGATAAAATGGGGAGCATGGAAAAAGTTAAAAATATGTACGCAGTTTTCTTAGTATCTACATATTTAAATACTTGATTCTTGACATCAGGGTTCGGAAAACCCCGGGGTTTTTGTAGAAAAACCCCACCCCGTGGGTTTTTCCGGGGTTTTTGGGGTTTTTGTGGGTTTTTGGGTTTTTGTGGGTTTTTGTGGGTTTTTGTAGATTTTGGGGCAGGTTGAACCAGAATTCCTAAAATTATTTATTAGAGAAAAACTAATTTAATATACGATTTTAACATGCAATTTTAACCGTTATCATTGATTTGGACTATTACATCGAAAATTCATGTTTGACATGTAAACCTGGAAATATGCAATGATACTTGGAAATTCAAGTCGCAAATGAAAATTCTCAAAATTTCAAGATGAGGCAGAAAAGTTAATTAGCAATGATCTACGTTGTAGTTTAAGGGATTTTGTTTCAATCTGCCTCAAAATCTTACAAAAACCCCGGAAAAACCCACAAAAACCCACAAAAACCCGCAAAAACCCCATTAAGCATTAGGGTTTTTCCGGAGATTTGATACCCCAAAAACCCACAAAAACCCCAAAAACCCCAACCCACAAAAACCCGGGGTAGCGAACCCTGCTTGACATGGCATTGTCGTGAAAATAGTCGTCTGGAGAAATAAGGGTTCGTGCTACTAATCCTATTGAATACGCCTTTATTATGGTGGTGACATGTAAAAAGAAAGGAACCCTTTAAAAAGGGTACCCCTTTATTTTTAGGGGATTGTTTATCCAGAATTCTTCTTAATCTGATGCTCACGACTCGTTTGTGTAGCTCGTTGTATTGCAATGATTATTTTAACTTACAATTTTTAAGTAATCAGTTTTCCAAGTATGTACACAAATGAATAATAAACCAAGTCCATGCCCATTCAAAAATTTCTTATGGGGCCTTTTATACTTAAAATAAAGTTGAAACTAATTTAAATTTTGAAATGAAAATGTCTTGAAAATAGCTTTCTTTATGCATGTGTAATAATTTCATGATAAGTCACTTATCTGTCATGTAGATATTTCAATAATATTGCCAAATTGTAAGTATAACGCAGCTAAATAAAGTTTAAGGATGTTGACTTTACGATAATTTTGTCACGGATAGTTGTGATTTTACAACGTAACTAACAAATGAGCATTATTATCTAATGCATTCTTAATCATTACAACTAACTTAAATTTATCCAGCAGTTGCGTCCAACTTAAAGTGTGACAAAGTATAAGAAATATGTGTAAATATTTGACACACTCTAAATAAAACCTGTGCTAAATTTATCCAAGGTTGAATAAAAGAGGAGGAAGGCACCACATTACCACAATCGGCTAAAATTTGCGAAAAGGTTGGATATACATATAAGTTTTACGCAAGCGGTACATAAGTTTTGCACAACGGTTGGATGCATTTTAAGCAATTTTTGTCATCTTCTTTTTATTGCTCAAACTTATGTAAATTTTGCACTTTTATTTAAAGTGCATCGTCGAATCTCATGGTTATCAATATCAAATCATAATATCAGAGTAAAACCGGTGTAATATTTATGCAAAAGTCATACATTTTCGCAAATTGAAATATTTCAATATAATATAATATAATATATATTTACATATATACTTTTGCGGAAATTTATAAGAAATATTCCCTGACAAATTTTATATTCAAGAGCTCTCTTCTATCGTAAAATTAAATGGGGGCAAAAAATTTGAGCGGACAGGACCAGGGTTCATGTGGTTTCTTACTTTTGCAGGTCGAAAAAACATACACGTTCAAAAATATAGTTCCCATTCAAAAGTCTATCATCCAGATTTCTGACTCAAGATTTTCATTTTTCTTCACATTTAAATAGTTATTTTCATTCAAAGTCATTTCATTTCACTTTATCCGACTTCATTTCTTACTTTGCCCCATGTATTTACAGGGTGGCCCACTCTAGCTGTAAGCGAAATGGAAAGCTCTAGCTTCAACAGTTTTCGTGCTACAAATTTCTAGTTAATTTTGGTGGAAAGCCAGTTAATTTTTGAATAGAAACAATTATTAGTTTTCGAGATTTCCTCATCCTGCATTAATGCAGCGCTGAAGAAGACGCCTGCAGTCCTCCGCCGAAGCACGCATTGAATTCTTGGACATAGTGTTCCATTTCGTGGTCAAAAAATTTTTTCAGGGCTCTACACTTCTATAAGGCTTAGAACACACCTTTGCCCCTAACTTTGACCACATTTCATATTCCGGGGATTCAAATTCATCAAGGAGCATGACAATTTCAAAGTGCGGATAAAGTCAGGAATTTGGTTTTTTAGCCACGCTTTGATCGCTTTTTGCACTATAAGCTCGTGCTGAGTCCTGCACAAAGGTCCAGTCGACTTCATTGAATAGGACCTCTCTTAGGGGATGTTCCACGGACCGAAAAACATATTTTGAGAAATTTTCTTCCTTCTCCTTCCCCTCATTTTCGACAGCATGTGGAGGAATTATCCCAATTGGCTCCCACCTACCAAAATCATCACAAAACCTGGATAATGTGACTTTCTGACCCTTTGTCTATATGGGCAGACGTCTTTGACACCTTTTGCATAGAGTAGGTCAACTGGTTTGTTCAAAGATTGTTCCGATCTGAAAATCTCCTCATTTGGAAAAATAATCCTCCTCGCTTTTTTGGAGCGTATCGCTTCAAGAGAGCCCTTCATTTCTTTAGTCTGGTCTTCCTCTGAGGAATTTTCAGCATGTAACAAGTACAACGTTTCAAAGCCTTAAGTCCAAGGTTTAATTTGAGCACTTGTTGGATAATCTGCATCCATCGGATGGCCGATGAAAATAGCCTCACGGCTATTTTCCGTTAGAATTTCGTGAATTTCCTCGAATTCTATCTTCCAGCGCCTTCACAATCGGTGTGGTCTTTGCAGGGTTTGAAAAAAAATTTCTTCGACTGTTCTTAGTCGACCTGGTCCCCATGAACGTTTTCATAGTCCGTTGGACTAAATTAAAGTATACGTTCGATTCCTGTCACACTTTTAGAATTCGCTATTTCTCCTCTCATTTTTTTGGTGAAAAATTATCGCCGCCCGCGTGCCTTTAACATTTTCCCTGGTGATATGCTTTTCAATAATTAAAATATCGATTAGTGGTTTTTATGCAAAATCGCACGACAAATCCAACGCAAGTATCAGATTTTTATTATCTTCAACGGTTTTAAAGTTAAGAGCTACTTACAGGTAGCCTTGGCATGCTATGTATGAAGCATCGGATGAGAAATGAAACGAGTAACAATCCTTTCATTCACAGTCATTCATCTGAAATGACGGAATCCTTCAGTCATTTTCATTCAAACGGAAAGAAATTCATTCGCATGCATTCACTATAATAATCATCCGAATGAATGAAGGTATGTAAATAGGCTTATTAAAATTACACGTTGGGATAAAGCTAATTCAATATGCGAATTCATTCATGAAATTTTAAGAATTTTCCAAAATCATTTGGACTTCCCCGTCATAAGGTCAAGTCAACCAAATATTAAACGCGGACTTGCACGTTGCTGGTACATGCACACTTGGAAATTAAAGTCGTTCATGATAAGAATATTCGAAATTTCTTATTAAATCCGCAAAATTTAATTTGTATGAATAAATAATCCAGCAAATACGGATTTTTTCCCAGTCCACACTAAAATCTCACAAAACAACTTGATACATAACCAAATTAAGCATTGGTTTCCGAGATTTGATACCACAAAAGCCCACGCAAAAAAATAGGGGTAGCGTGCATACATATGTATGAACCTTAGCCGGGCCATCACAAGATTTCCCTTTGTCCTTTAATTAAAGCGTACCCTGAAAAATATACTCATACGCACATACATACGTAATACATAAATTTGTATACGTAAATATGTACCTCTAAGAAACCTGGTAACTAAGGTATTACTAGGTGGAGTATCTAAATATGTCTCTATCGCATTGTAATAAATTTACCGTTGACCCTCAGCTACATATGAATACCATTTCCTGGTCATATTAAATTTATGTATCACGTGGAAAATAAGCTACCCAAAATCACCCACCTTTTGACGACGTAATATATGCACGCTTCCTATTTATCCCTTTATCTTTCTGTTGCATGGAAAGACCCTCAGCCTCAACTCCTTCACTGTTGCAGGGATGATTCGCTTTATTCTCATTCAAGTCATTGATTTACATACAGGTTTGTACATAAACTATCTAATATCTTGTAATGGTTTAATCTCGCCTAGAACTTGTACATGTCTACATACATACGTCAAACTGTTAAGTAAATGATTCGATTCAAGGGACAAGAATATACTCGAATACGTAAAACCTGCTCATACGTAAACACATGTTTCACCAATCTAAAAAATCATCAATACAGTTATCTAGAAAATTATTATTACAGTTATCTAGGAAATTATTATTTTAAACAAGTATTTACATTAAAAAACACGACCTTCTAAATAAAAATAAGTAAGAAAAATTTCCTCAAGCTTGAGTAAAAAAGAGGACGACACAACCGAAATATAAAACTTATCCAAGGTTATGCAAAATCTATCAATTCTTTATACAAATTTTTACAAAACTTTGGAAAAATTTTGCACAACGGTTGGCTAAATTTTCCAGTTTGGTTGTGGAATCCTCTTCTTTTTTATACTCAAACTTGAGGAAACCTTACTTATTTTTATTTAGAGTGTGGTCCGGAAAGTATTTATAAAGTGTGTGCGTGTATTTACATAAGAATGAAACCTGAACAAAACTTTGCCTCATTTAGAGAACTAATCAACCATATTAATTTAAAATATGAAGATTGTAAATCATCCGTGGGTGGTAACATTTCCAAGGCGAAGGAGTCCAGTTATATCGAGAAATTGGTCCGTTTGGCCCGGGGAGAGAGTGATGTCCACAAATGTTTAAGATATCTCAAGGACAAAGTCGTAAGTATTTATGTAAATATGTAGGATAATAAATAATTTTGAGACAAATCGTCACCCGCGGAGTGCCCTATTGTTTGGTAATGATTTTGTCACCAATTGGGGAATAAGGGAAAAGTACTTGTACCAAACACATGTGTGTTAAAAAATTGGACATTTTTATTTGCATATTGGACTTTGTTAAACCGTTTATGATTAACGTATTGCATTTTCTAAATTATGACACGAGTCACGAGTGTTTGCTTTACCTCCAATTGGTGACAAATCATTACCAAAAAATAGAGCACCATAGTACCTCCACGGGGTAACGAATTATTTATTTAGAGTGTATGGATATAAATATGTAGCTCGGTTAACGCGGGACTTATACGATGCACTCTTCCTGCGTTGTACATATGTAGAAATTTCAAGTAGCACGTAGAGCCAGTGGCCGCGGAAGGGTGGGGACGGAGGGACAATGTCCCTACGGTAATTCGAAGTTGTCCTGACTATCTCCACATGTCATACACACCACTGCCTCCCCTATCCAGCAATATTAATGTCCCTAAGGCTTCCGCGGCCACTGCGTAGAGCGTTCCTGTGATTTTTTTCTACAAGACTCAAAACTAAAAATTGAATGGTGCATACATAATTAATTTTAATTTTATTAATTTGACTTTATTAATTATATTAAATTAATTAAGATTTTAATTGAATATAATTGATAATTAATTAATTAATTGTTGCATAGTTCGTGCTACGAGATAAGGAATATTAGCTAAACTAAAAGTGGGCAATTATATTACAGCCTGCCGTCCAAGGCGAGCAGTGGGTCGTCTTTTGTTGGGCTTATGCTGACATCCTCCATAAAGAAAAGGGCCCCCTCCCTCCGGGGGAAAGATGTCGAAAAGCCAAGGAATTCTTCACTTATAGCATACAAAATCACGCCAAGGTACACACACACTAAAAATTCGAGGTAACCCTTTTTTGTGTAAAAATGACTCCAACACTGCACATTGTAAACCGTGTCCCACCGGGAGTAAAGTCGTCAGTGCGATGTGGTGTTAATCCACGAGTAACAGGGTGCCGAGTAAATTTTGACTGGTTTACTCTTCCCCGTGTTAATGTTACCCATGCACGAGTTGTGACACTGTGATTTACTCTTTACGGAGTAAAAAGGAAGCGTCCTTTTTACTCCATCTATCACGAGCGGGCACGAAGCTTTGTCAGTCCACCACTCTCCAAAATATATACCTTTTTTGCTTTATCTGACTGTTAGAAATATAATAATTCTGCTTTACTTACATAAACAATTAGTAATAGATATTTCTAACTAATAATAATTGGTTAGCATAATCCCATCTATACGCTCTGGTACACAAACTACTAGTGATGTGTACTTGTGTTGAAATAAGACGGCTGTTGGAGCAATGTGATTTGAGTGATTACTTCCATAAGTTTCAAGGTCAGTTTTTATAATAATTTTTTGGGGACTTGAAATCATTCGTACTAAATACTTAACGCTGTTTTATTTTTTTAGATAAACTCATCTGTGATGACCCCTTGTCGACATTGAAAGAGACCGACCTAGTTGAACTTGTACAGGGCATTGGACATCATCTGAACTTTGAACATTAAGAATTCGGACAACTATCTTTCTATTTTTTGATTTTACATAGTTATAGATAGATAGTTGAAAAGCATAGAAATAACTTTAAATTATTACCCACAATTTTGTTACACCTGATTAAATACGAAGTTTTTAATATGAATATAATATTAATTGTCCGTTAATACAGGCATTGTATGGATAACTCATAACCAGTAAAAACAACCCTGTAATCAGTAAAGTGGTAGCTCGGTACCGAGTTAACGGTAACCCCAGTACGAGTTATACGTTAACCCTGTGCGGGGCTAGCCACCAACTCGCTCAGGGTAAAGTCGGTTACCCTTTGGAAAATTCGCTCGGTTTACTCTGCACAGCGTGGAATCACTTTCAAGTCCGCACAGTATTATATTTTACTCTGCACGGACTAAAAAATTTTTACTGTGCATGTTCGCCTCCAAATTCTGTATATACAGGGTCATTTAAATGTCACGTTACAATGGAAAATTTTTCGATGGGAAAAAATTCGTAATTTCTATTAGTTCGAAATTTTGTCTCTAAAATTCAAAAATTTCATCATCAATGTTCCATCAGTGTTATAAAAATTTTATAAAAATCTCAGCCAAAAATCTTGTAACTAATGGAGATTTAGGGGTTTTTCCCATTGAAAAATTTTCCATTGTAGCGTATAACATTTTAAGCACCCTGTATGTACGAAGAATGTTCAGCTAAAACTTGAACAATTTTGAGGTTTACTTACAATTAGTTTTGCTGAATGCGTAATTTCTAGTTTATTGCACATTATTTGGAAAAATATAACTCACAAATATGTTTTAAATGCATCTCAGCTTTCCATAGTTTCTGTTCCACCGTTCTCTTGTATTTTTTGTTATTCCAGAGTTTGCGCGAACTCCACGAAATCATGGTGTTGATCGACCACGCCGGAAAGTTGGGTCCCCTGGAGAAGGCTATGGTTAAAAAAGAGGCGAAAATCGGTGCCGAAACTTGCACCATGGAGGAAATCATACTCACCAAAGCTAACACTTTATCCGTTAGTGGGGAAATCACGAAATTAAATCTCATCTTCCCCGCCGCGTACGGATCGGGCCCCGCGAAACGGTTCGTTGCCGACTTATACCCCAATTTACGCCCACCAAATCCCCCCCAGCCAGCTACTAATGAACTAAAGAATGAGAAAAGATCTGACCCAGGGAAAGTATCGACTTACCCCGTAAAAGTATCGAATTCCCCCGTACCACCTGTCTGGGGACCGAATCACAAACCTCTCGAGGGATGGAAGAACTCGCTGTGCGATAGCATCCTCCACTCCCCGAACAAGGCGAGGATACCCGGGAAAATCGCAGATTGGGTGACGCGACCCGCTTTGTCGGCCTGCGGTGATCCGTCGCTCCAAATTTGCGAAGGGTTGGATAAAATGTGCAAAAAAATCGGGCCTCAATACGAGTCCGTCCTAGCGATCCGACTGCTCTGGGTGTACGTCGCCGTGTTAGAGCGGCGGATGAAGGACGACCCGGTAACAGCCGTTAATGGGGTGGATACCGATCGGCGGGTTGTTTAAACTTGCGGTGAAAAACGATAAATATGAGGTAGGTTGATTTTTTAGTACTAGTTTATACGCCCACCCGTAGATGGGCAATAAAGGCCCCTCGATTAAGTCAAAACAGAGAATGAAAATATCCGTGAAGTTGGCCCCCCATTTATCTCTTCAAGTCATAAGTAACATGGTTTACCCTAGATTTGGCACAGTTTACTTCATGTAAAATTCAGAGTGCATTTACTCTTCAAAAAAGTGGGGTAACATTATTTTTAATTGTTCAGCATTATCCGGACTGGTTCTCCTTAAAAAAATTAACTTACCTACCCAATATTTTCGCAACAAATATGTAAATCATTTTAATTTTTAAATTCCAGAATAGTAAACACATTATAAACCTGTGGAACGCAATTTGGGAATTGTCCCCTCACATGGATGGTGTCTTTCCAATCACGTCCGCCATCCTGGCGGAAGCCTATCCGCACCTGGACTTGATCCTATCGCCGGATCGTGTCAGCTACAAGTCGGATAAATTCTTTGTAGAGTTTGCCCCCAAGATGCCACCCCCTGCAGCAAGTAATAAAATAGTAAGTCACCATTTGACAGGTATTCCTATGGGAGTACTTCCAGTAAAAATGGGACATACAATACAATGGAGGTCTCCCAGCGTAGGCTAAAAGATTTGGACCAAACTACCGTCAATCGATCACAAATATAATTAGTATGGAATTGTCAAATGGCAGTATCTGCCATTGCGCCCGTTTGGCGGAGATATTTGCATTCAAAGGGAGAAAAATGCGCAGAAAACTTGGAAAATAATAAATTTGCTAGCCATTGGGATTCGTTTTCTCCTCTTCTTACGCAAAAATCTCAGAAAAACCTGCGCATTTGCGGATAGTTGCATTTGCAAATTTCATACCAATTATATTTTTGATTGATTGACAACATTTTTGGTGCAAATCTATGAGCATACGTTGGGCGTAGGGCTGACAAATCCGGATACTCCGAATTCGAAAAAATGCAGGATCGAATGGTAGTACACTTCGACCAACGCAAAATTTGAAAAAATGCAGGATCGAATGGAAGTACACTTCGACCAACACAAAATCTGAAAAAAGTGCACGATAGAATTGTAGTACAATTCGACCAACACCAAAAATCTGGAAAAAATGCACGATCGAAGGGTAGTACACTTTGGCCAACACAAAAATGAGAGAAATGTACGCATCGACAACTGGGAAATACGCTTAGACCACCGAAATACATTAATATTTCAAATTGCAATCCCAAACTGTTCTGTCGACGAAAATTACGCAAAGCTGTTTGAGATTTGGTAATTTTCACAATATTAGATAACAAAGCTGGCCAACGATCAAATAAAGTTTCAGACCTGCGTTAATTTGATTGAAGTTGAAAATTTAAATTAGTTGCAGTTTTTACATTTATGAACGACTTCAATTTTTTGCCCAAACTTGATTTTCCCAGATTCACATGTTTTTTCATAAGCATCATACATCATTTCTGCATCAATGCTTTTGAACGAGTTTGTACTTAATTGTAGGGTTGCCGCGGGTAGCGAAAATGCTACCCGTTACCCGACCCGCTACCCGCAGCACAATTACCCGTACCCGCACGGGTACCCGTTACCCGCTACCCGTTATGAGAATTGGGTTAAAAACTAACCAAGCTTAAGTTTGATTTGATCAATTATTTGTTCGTTTGGGTTAATATGTATTTTGAGATACTGCTATGCAAGTAAGGCATGTGTTTTGGCTTATAACTGGATCGTTTTTCAAGCTATGTCGGTATTTCTTAGCGATTTATGTATATCAAAAAATTAAACCAAAAAATAGGAATTACATGGAACTAATCTTCCCATTGAATTAACAGTTTAAAGGAAACTATTGCGGGGGGAGAGTTCAAAGTCCACCATGGATTTCGGAAAAACCACGAAAGCAGGAAACCAGGAAAAAGATACAGAACATTTACTTAAAAATTAAACTTTACCGCCAATATTATTCGTCGAATGGGTCATTCAAAGGAAAGATAAGTATCACATGATTCCTAATTTTTGGTCTGACTTTTTAATATATAATCGCTGGGCAATCTTGGTTTAGCTTGAAAAAGGTTCAATTTTTAGTTTGATTTTTTCAAATTTTGATTTAAATGAAGTTTTCATTAAAAAAAATTGTCTACAAATAATTTTTTTGCCTTCAACCGGATTCAGGTTTTTTTATCTTCAAAGCACAAATTAAAATCTCGGCAGTCTTACATAAATAAATACACACAAATACAAGTAAAATTATTACCGATATTTTAGAGCGGGCAAACTATGTTTGAGAAACAAAACAATATGTAATTGCTTCGCATTTTCTGGACGTGAAAAGTATTTGAGGCCGGCATAATAGGCCTCTGTGGCTTCCGTAAAGACACGCTCGTTATATACGCTTTTTGCTGGCAAATGACAAACTCTGAAATGGAAAAATAATAAATTGACGCTTTTGTTAGTAAATGGACTAACTGGCTGCTAACTTTCTTTGTGAACTGATTCGAACTGTCGAAAATTAAATAAAAACTAAACTACCCGTTACCCGTGCGGGTAGTTCTCACTACCCGCAGATAACGGGTACCCGCAAGAATCATGCGGGTATGCGGGTAACGGGTACCCGACCCGTTACCCGCGGCAACCTTACTTAATTGCACTTTTCTAGGTTCTTAATTTATTACCTAGTTTATGAGATAGAATGAGTGATAAGTCGCTTTAATTAATATGAGCACTATTTGCATTTAGTTTTGTAGCTGGACACAGTTTTTATTGCTTTTTCGACTTAATAATGGTTAATAACTTATTCATTGACCAGCTAGATTTTCGGGTCCTACGTTCTCGGAAACCCATTTCCTTCTAACGTAGGAAATAATGTTCCTATTTTAAGCCCTCTCATTCACAAATTTAGCGTTAAAGGTTAGCGTCTTAACGACGAAGTAGATACACACATTTATGTAGTACCTATTTTATTTTCCGTTGACGTCACAACACAAATATGTGTACTGCATTAATTAGCCTCACATAAAAATGTCTCAAAAAAGTATTTCCTTGATATTTTATGGAAAGCCCGATAATAAAAAAGAGGTTTTTCTCGAAGTTTGTATTCTTACATCTTGGCGTTTGAGAACTGGTTGAAAATTTTAATTGGTTGTAAGCAGGTGTAATTATAAAATTTGCATCGTGTCGGACGGAAATTTTATTAGAAAAACAGTAGCGCGAATGAGGTTACCAAAATGAGGAGTCAATAAAAATTCTACGTCTCGCTTCTTGAATTAGAGATTCCGTACTATATAGTGGCGATGGGGAACTTTGACCTAAAAATGGTCAAAAAATTATTCTTGAAATCTCAAATTTTGGTTTAATATGTGAAACATATCTGACCACGTGTCCTTAAAATTTCATAAGCTTTCCTTGAAAAACAAATTTCGTACGTAACTTCAAAACGAGGAAGTCGGGAAACGAGTTTTTTGTAAGTACCAAAATCTGAGCGACAAAAAATCGAAGAAGGCTTGACCAAATTTCAACAAAGGGAGGTGTGGCCGTGCAAAAATTAGGACATACATAAAAATAAACAAGGTCCCAAAAAAGGGGAAATCTTAGTGAGGTAGTGCAATCCTAATTAATAAATAAAATTGGTTTGCCGCTCTCGGTACCATTTTTTACTGGAAGCATTAATCGTTTAAATAGAAAAGTTGTACTCTCAAAAGGTCCCATGATTTTGCCTGAATAGAATATCCTAATTAATGTATTGAATTGAAATTATAGATTTGTATCTTTTTTAAACAAATACGTAGTTCATAATTGTTTAGCCATTATATTTTACATATCAATCTCATTTAATTTAACTAACTGCTCGTTCACTACACAGTAAAAATGCCTCTTTCTCAATTTACTCAATAAAATTAAGAATTCATGCGTATGCAAAGAAAAATTTATACTGTATCCAGTAAAAATGGTACCGAGAGCGGTGATGCAAAAATTCTGCAATCTAATTTTATTTATTAATTAGGATTGCACTACCTCACTAAGATTTCTCCTTTTTTGGGACCTTGTTTATTTATAACTTTTAATTGGAATTTGGAATGTCAATGGGATGATTAAATTGCACCACCCCCTTTCAATACTTGCATCCGGGATAATTTTCTTAAATGCTTCGTTTTCAAAATTTAATTATCTCGTTATTTATTAACCGATTCAAGTTATTTTGGTCTTAAAATGTCTGCCTAGATTACTAAACACCAAATGATCTAATCTGGACGTGGAACACTCACAACAACCCCTTCATGCATTTTACCAAGAGTATTACAGAATCAAATATTAGTTGTTCTGTTTACAGTTTTGAATATTTATTTTGTTTTAAGGGGGAATTGGATGACGCCATTCCTTACACCCCTCTCTCTCATTATAGCTCTCTGATGAGAACTATAATTCTTATTTGTGCGAAAAAATTCAAGAAAAATGGGACATTTTAGAGGTGGGTCATCATATTCATCAAGAAGTCATCAAGAAATTTTTAACGAATATTCGTTTGATAAACCGGTGGAGAGTAGCTTGGTTGATAAACAGATGAGCACGAGAAACTCAGGATATTTTGAGTTTCGCGGTGGAAGGGTCCACTTTTTGTAGGGGTGTGGGGCATTGTGTTACATGAACAGTTTAACATTGTGTAAGAGGCCCCTTAAATTTATTACTTCTATGTCGTTGTTAATGGCATTGATTCATAGCACGTCTATGAATTTTATGGTCTTTGAATTGGAATAACTAAATCAATTCTGAACGGATTTTGATATATTTATACTTAAAATTTTCGGGATAAAATGTTCTACAATTCGTGGAGTTCAAACTGTTGATAAAGGTTTCTAGTAATTAGCAATAATTACAAATGTGTTTCTAAGGCCACATTTTTGCCCATATTTCTGGTCAAAATCACATAATCGCTTAGTCGGATCAGATCCCATTTGTAAATTATGTAACAATAATCGGTGCAAAATTTCATCAAAATCGGTTAAGAAATGACTGAGATATCGCAGATGGTCACTTTTTTGGGGTGGGTCAAATGCATACTTAGTAATTTTTTCGTTGTTAGGTATTTGCCTCACTAAGAAAAAAGTATGGCGAATCCGAAAATATCAACTTCAAATACGCACCACAAGAAAAAACCATCATATTGACCCCTTGAAAATGAAAAACAATTTAATTTATTTTTGGAAACTACGGATCCACGTTTGTGCCTAATGCGACCATGAAGTTGAAGATTAATCCAGACTATGCGCATCATATGAAGGCTCACAAGTTGTCGGTCAAAGCTTATTCAAAGAAATCTGCAGCAAAGCATACGGAACGTCAAGAACAAATGGTGAACGCAAGCCCTCCCAAGCTTTACAACAAAATTTCACCAAAATAGTTGGTCATTGGCGACGAGTCTTACGTCTTCAAAAACGTGACAGAAACTCCGGGAAGGCATTTTTTGTATGGGAAATATATCTCTCAACTGAAAACCGAAAAGAAATTAAAATGTTAAAATTTCTTGAGAAATTTCGGAAATGTTTGGCAGATGTTGGGTAAATTTGGGCATGTTTCGGACCCCTCGGTTCAAAATGGCTGTGTGGAGGAATAGGGCTATAAATAGAGGTTTTACGGTATTTGCATTTATTTGGTTTTCAGTTCGGTCTCATTTTCACGCCGTTTCGCGCATTTGGAAACCTTTTTCTTTTGTTTTTCTGCTCTCCACTAACCCCTCTGACACGGATTACCAGCACGGATAAAAATACAAATGGATCTGCCGACGTCCTAGCAGGCATACCGTAGGTACTCTATTTAAAGCGGGCTCAAAAGCCAGCACGGCGTTTGAGCCGGCTCACTTAGGCTACAGTTACAAACCGGAAAGAATTATAGACCGGGATCATTTTTACTCGGTTATACATATGTATATAACTTGAAGAAGTTAAAACGCATGAAGGGAATGAAATGATTAGAGACAAGGTTTGAAAACTTGAGCTCAAGACTCGGTTACAAATAGAGTATTTACGGTACCCATAGCGGATGTTACATGAGCTTAGATAGAAATCTTAGGGATAGATCTATACCTAGATCTATAGATTTAGCTAAGCCTAAAATCTATAGATAGAAACCTTGGTGTGCGGTCGAATTGCATAATTTTTTTGGTATAACGACAATTTATATGGTATAATTTGATTTGGTATAATATTGTTGGTATAATTTAAGGGAACCATTTGGTATAACGAAACTCATGGATAATTCTATTAGGGATAATTATATTTTAAGCTTTAAAGGGACCATAATTCATTCCATTCCTTCTTTCCTTGCATTCTACATTCACTCCAAAGTCACAACCATGTCCACTGAAAACGCTACTTGTACCAAAAACAACTGCAAGAATAACACAGAGTACTATATTTGCACGCACAGAAATAAAATGGCATGGAGGGTTAGCATTTACGCATAAATACTATGTGAAAAGCCATTGAAATTTTACAAAATGAACAGAGCCATTGGAATTTGGAAATCGAAAAATTGAAATCTGAGCAAGTCGAGTCACAGCATAAAATTTACAGGGACCTGGATAAGCGACTCCTCTTGATTGTAGAAAATCACAACACTGATCTTAACACTTTCGACTATCTCAAGGATATTGGACAATGTCTTAGGGGTCAAATGGTCGAATGCTAGTACACGGTTCGGTTGTAGCTTATTGAAAATATTTTTAGTTCATATAGAAGTAATTGGAAAGTTTGTTCAAGGAAAAACAATTAGCTTAATTCAGTAGTACGCATTTAATTTATGCAAGTGTATGGAGGGAAAAACACAAATTTCAGGGGTGTCAAAAACTGTCCAATTATTACTAGAGTTTGATGTGAACCAAATCCCTGGGGCCAAATACTCTCCGATAATGTGTTGACATGTAAGGGCGCAAAGTCCATCAAACATTCACGCACAACTTAAAAAGTTGACGATGAGTTAATCGAGTGTGCTTATTTCCAGATTATACTATATCTCACTTCTAGGGTAGAGTTATGCTCATTGCAACAACCACAACCGCAACCATAATCTCCACAAAAATCTTTTCAAAGTTTCCCGAATCCACTGCTTAGGCTCCTGCTGATTCGTAAAGTAGCATATCTTTCGAAGAATCATGAAGATAAAACCATACTTCGTCGGAGCTTAACGCAGACTCTTCATCTTTGGGATTTATTTTTGTACCGATTATCCTGCCGGATTCCACGGGGTTTGAAAATTAGTAGAACCATTCAGTTGTGACCATAAGTGGGAAGGATCAGTCCAAAGTATTTTGCCTTTATGAAAATATTATAGGGGTAACGGTAAACGCACCTAATCGGGCCTCCATTTCGAGGTTCATGGTTTCTTACTTTTGCGTCGAACTTCAATTTGAGCAAAAACGAACTTTTTTCATGCTAGTACACTAGCAAAGTGTTAGTAGTACACTTGCAAAATTGTGCAAGATTTTCCAGGGTTGCCGGTCCCCCTCCCTCCGACCCTGATATCCTCTTATTCGTGACTGACCCACATTCCCTGATTAGACTGAATCTATCCCTCTTTCCTTCCGAAGGTGCTGGTTGGTTGGCGAGTAGTCTGTTGCCTCCTGAGGGGAGAATGAGGTCGGACAAAAAGGACCACCACGTTCCTGACCCACCGGAACTACCCCCACTTCCGGACCTCCCAGCGGTTCCGGCAGGCTGTACGGAAACCCTGCTGAGGATCGACTTCACCCCTGAAGAGTATCTCGAACAAACGATCGCAGACAATTATTATGCTCAAGGGATCAAACTGGTTGATGGGGTTAGACGAGTGGTGTTCTATCATAGAGATAATATTTTAAGTGGTCTTCACCAATGAAAAATCAAACATTTCGAGAAATTTAATCCCTAAAAAAATTAGGAGATGGTAGTGTCACGTATTGTAAATTTTTATAAAAATAGCCCATCCTATGTAGTTTGACCTTACGGAAATTAGAAAATTACGACTTTGGACAAACATACATACATCAATTATCTTAATAAGATTAAAAGTAGGTAATTTTGTTGTCTTACAAGATTCCTAATGCATACATATTCGGTAATTTAAATTTCATTTCATACCCATAATTTCCAGACAAGCTTACATATTTCCAAACTTTACAAAAATACAAAACGACTACTCAGCATTACCTAATGTTCAATGATTATCTGCACACATGCACATATACATAAATGAATGTGTACAGCATTATATAAAATTTCGGTATTATCTACGATACCGAAATATGTTTTGATTATTGGTATGTCACTCAATTATGTAAATAGTTGACCACTCCGCATCCGCATGATTTTCATATGACACGATAAGATCCTATCATGAAAAAAATGTGCATGATAAGAAAACTGGGTTAATAAGTATGTAGGTCGAGTATGCATGAATGATTAATTGGTTATCTGTGTCACCTCATCGCTAAGATAAGCTTGGCATAATAAAATGTAACGTTTGACCTAATTTTTGTCCAGTCCTTCCTCAACATCAAATAATTTTTGATACCGATCAAAATGCAGGCCTGTTCTTTTGCAACTTTTTTTCTAACGTGGATAATATTAATTCAATCCGGATCATGTCAGCAAGCTCAATATCTAAGGCTCTGGAACACCACGGGATGTATCGGGGAACCATTTGTGGACGCACCAACCTCCGGGAGTAATATCCCTCTTCCTGCTGGATTGACCATCATGCATTATCGCGTTAATGGGCTGTAAGTCGTTAACCTTTTGGCTAACAAAGTACACACATTTGTCGATGTAGCATTTTAATTATTTTCCGCTGACGACCAAGTACACAAATAAACCGTCGTAAACGCACCTAAGGAAGTAGCTTCAGACTACTTCACCCCAACCGGTCCCACGACATCGCGGAAATACCTAGTTTCGCTGTATTTCATCTATATATTCAATTTTTGAAAAAATCTCATTTTGCCCCGACCACACCCCCTGGTGCGAGTGGGGGTGGTCCGATTGACGCCAAAAGTTGATAGGATCCTCCCCCTGGGGTCCTATGTATGATGGCGAAAACCGATTTCGATTATCTCAATCCGTTCTGCTGACGAACGGACAGACAGACAGACAAAGTCTTCGCATAAAGTAGCTGAAGCTACTTAATAAATTTATCTATGTAAAGTAAATAAGTAAAGTTACCCTGACACCAAAATTTATTTAAAAGTAATGTTTCTTCGGTATTTTTTGGGAAAACTTGATGATAAAAAGTGGCTTTTTTCGATATTTACACTTCTGAAATTTTCATTATACCGAATAATGCTAAAAAGTGGAATTTTCGTCAAAAAACTAACTAAAAAATTGGACATTTGTTGAACTTTAATTGGTTGCTACTTCAGGGGTAATTATGAAATCAACATGGTACTGCAGGGAAATTTTATTAACAAATTTTTCATGTCAAGATATTATTAACAAATTGTAAAGAGGTTAAAAGGTGAAAAATCAGACTGCATAAACATATTCTTTGTCCGTAGTTTCTTAAGAGGGGGTAATGCTATTGTAAAAGTCAAATCTGTTTGTGCCCAGCTAAGAATAGGAAGGTCCTTCCCTTATACACGCAAAAGTGTGGAGCAAGCCCTTACGCGGTTGCCAAACTGTGCTGGCCCTTCACGCTGTCACATTGTATTCTACAATTATTAGTAGCGTATATTTATTATTTGCAGATGGCAAAGCTTCTATTGTCACAACGTGACGTATTGTCCTGACGCACCAGTTTTTATGTATGGGACCAACACCGGCTGCGTGCCTACCGTGGTCGGGACCGGTAATACCGAAGTGCATGTCGTCATGTACGGCGATTCGAACCAGGTCGCGGAAGGAATCACGTTTTTTGAGGAAGAGCGCTTGGGCGGGGACGGCTTCTATGTTTCATCGGGCACGCCCTTAAATGCAACGGCCCGACGGGTCCGATCCTACTTCTTCACCGGACCGAGTTCATGGCAGCACAAAAGTTCGGAAGCTGCAGAAGCTGGGTCGTGTCTCAACGCAACGACGGAGATTTACCAGAACGGGTGGGGAGTCACCTTTTCACTTTCTGTAGATTTTCAGGTGGGCTGGGCACGACACGAATGTAATGTGACGGAAGAACCAACTACTATTACAACTCCAACTACAACGACTACACCAACTACAACTACACCAACTACAAGTGCACCAACTACAACTACACCAACTACAACTACACCAACTACACCTACACCAACTACAACTACACCAACTACAACTACACCAACTACAACTACACCAACTACAACTACACCAACTACAACTGCACCAACTACAACTACACCAACTACAGCTGCTTCACCCCCTCCAAGTACGAATGCATCAAGTACAACCACACCAACAACAGCCTTACCAACTACCACCACATTAAATACGACGACTACACCAACTACCACACTTCCGACGACTACCCAAAATGCTACCACTGAGGCTCCAACAGATACTACCCCATCCAGCGGTTTTACCCACGTGATAGGCATTGTTCCGTCCTCTATCGCTATTCTAGCCACGATTCGAGTCCAATTTTTTTGATTTGTCAAACTGTATGACCATCAATAACTAAATTTAAATAAATACAATAAATTAATTAGCAATTATTTCCGCAATTTGCAAAATTAACTTTTCAGAAATTTTCAATATTTTCGAATATTTCCTGAAAAGGGCATGGCTTGAAAAAATTCAAAATTCCAAAAAAGTTCAGATTGATATCAGATATGATAAAGCAACTATTTGGGATCATAAATATGTAACTATTATGAAAATCCGAACAAAATTGGATTTTTGGCGAATTTTTTAGTGCAGCTAGTTTGGCATCGGGCGCGCCTTCAAAGGGGTGTGACGGGCGTAAATTGGGCCATGGCATCAAACCGCTTCACACTTTTTACTTTCAGAGGGGGTACTACCATATATCCAAAGGACATCAAGATCTGTCATTATCAGGTTGGCGTACTCTCCTCCTGAGTAGTGGGAATTCGTGCACCTTGGTGAGGTCCTGCATAAAGAGGAGGCCGCGACGTCGAGGGATGTTCTGCATAATGTTGAGACCTCGTGGTATATCCAAGAAATTCGAACAAAAATATAGCTTACTAGGGATACTTTCCAGGTGATAGTCGTGTCCACGGTTTTGTAGAATGTTTTTTAGAATCTACTAGGACACCAGATAGAGGATCCATTCATATTTCCATGTAGAACTCATATTTGGCGCCGTAGCGTGGCGCCAAACGTAAAAATCTGGATTTCAGACCAATTTCAAACCTCCATAACTTCTGCAGTTTCCCTGGGATTTTCAAAATTTTACGCTTAAGATGTTCACAAAACTTGAAGTTTTAAGAAAAAAACGTTAAAAATGCTTTTATTTTTGAGTTATTTTTACGATTTTTTCGACGAACCCCCATGTTTAAGATAATTCTTAAATTTTGCAAAAATTGGAAAATTTTAGTTTTTTGAAAAACGTCATGGAAATCGAAAGTTGAACCCTTTGTGATGATTTTGGTCAAATATTTCGAAAATCCGTCCAGGATTTCTAAAGCTAAAGTAAAGTTTAAAATTAAAAACATTCAAATTTGGCGAATTTAGCGCTAGGCTACGGCGCCAAATGAGTTTTGCACGGAAATAAGAATGGATCCTTTATCTAGACTCCTAACCGATTTTAAAAAGCATAGTGGGTACGCTCGACACGATTATCATCTGGAAAGTATCCCTAGTTAGACTTGGATTAAGTAGATGACCGACATCAAATTACATATAATATGTAACATGCATCTACCGGCAACCATGACTACTTAAATTTGTGATTATTAAGATTTATTTTTTAAAGAAGACTTGTGTTAAGTGGAATAAAACTCATTCAACCATTTGAAGATTCAACATATTTAGATGTAAAAGCATAACTATGTATCTGAACTATGCTTACCTTTCTGAGGAAACAGGATAACATGAATTCTCATCGCTATGGGATGATGACACGCACTATGAGCAGGATGGCGCCGATGAATCAGATAGAACTGGCGTTAGCGTACTGTTGAAGACATTTATTGCACGAGATGTCGCCGAAGTTTCGTTTTCTAAAGGTATATTGGCTTGGCGAGTTTCTTGTGATGTTGGTTTGTGAGTAAGGTGTGGTCCCGAGAGTGGTGGACTTGTGGAAAATGGGTAAACTTGAGTTGGTATTGGTAATGAATCAATTTGTTGGCTCGTAGGTAATACAATAGCTTGTCGGATTATTGGCAATCGGTGAACTTCCGGACTTATTGGCAATCGGTGAAATTCCGGGCTTATTAAAGATCGAGGAACACGTGAGTTTGTAGGCAATAAATTAACTTGTGGCCTTGTTGGCAATGGGTAACCTTTAGGGTTTGTTGGCAATGTACAAACTTGTGAGCATTCTGGCGATTGGGGAACATTTGACCGGGTTGGTAACCTGAAATATAATGTATCGTCGTACTAATTCCGAAAAGATATAAGTGCATTCAATGGTTAATTCCGATACAACATATGTGCACTCGATGCTTAATTCCGAAATAACATAACCGCACAGTAAAAACTAGTAAAAAGACATCAAGTGCAATTCTATTATTCGGTCCTCATAAGACCAGCACAAAATCTGACAAATGTGCAGTAGAAACCACTTACCGCCCGTAAGAAATACGTTGGAGGCCTGTGGTGCACCACCGCCAACCTCCTCCCATGTATTTCTTACGGGCGGTAAGCGGTTTCTACTGCACATTTGTCTGCTCTCTGTCCTGCTCTTACGTGGTCCGGATAATAATATTAATATTAAATAGTTAATTATTTGTGTGCAAATATGGGCCACATAATTTTAAAATTTTAACCAAATCGGAGCGTTGCACTTCCCACCATCGCCTTGTCAGATCCGAAGAAACAAAATATGTGTCTTCTTGGGAGACTAGAAATGAGAGACTATGCACTTAAATAAGGGACCCATCCCTTGTCATTTGGTTGGAGATATGGAAAAACCTTGAAAGTATGGAGTTCCTGGAATTCTTTCGGAATTTTATTATTTACATAATTCTTGGTAGTCTTTAGTGAAAACAGCCCATTTCCGTCATCAATAATGTAAATATCTCCTATCTGACGTATTTGTACCACCAACTACGTATGTAAGGGACAAACTAACCACCTCAGTAAATATTCAGTGAGCCATAGAAACAAAAAATGGTATATTTACATAACAATAAAATTTAATCTCATTGTGGATAACGACGTCTTGTATGTTTTGTACGCGAGTTATTGACTTATTTCTCCTTCGTGATAAATCGTCTTCGTAATCAGTAGCCAAAAAAGAGCACAATATTCTATAGTACCTCCGCGGTCTCCAAACCATTTGGAATGTAGATAACTCAACAATTTGAGGACACGTATTTTAAACGAATTATGCATATAGATATGTAATTGGGGTGCATGAAAAGTTAAATATTTTTTTTTATTTTTTGATGTGCATTACATGAAAAATGTTGCACATGCTGGGTTTTAATTAGTAAATTTGATCGTCATTGCGAACGATTAGATGCTGATTTAAACTGTGCATGATTTGATAAAAATTATTATTCCACTAAGCATATTACATGTACTATACAAAACAAATTATGAGGGTATTCATTATTTCTTCGTATCCATCGTATCGTAAAATAGTTTACGAAGAAAAAACAAGGGGTCAGGTTTAGTAAAAATCGTAAGCGTAGTAACGTGATTTTCGATGACAAAATCTTACGACGCTTACAAAATCTCGTAAGCTTCGTAAGTTATTTTACGATACGAAGAATACTAAGGATACGAAGAAATAATGAATACCCTCTATATGTACCATACATAGGTTCCCTATTTATGGCCGGATCGCAATACGGGACAGATCGGGCTAAAATTACAAACCAGACCTAATTTGAGACCCGGCTAATTTTTTTTCGGTTATATGCAACTTGGACCATATAAGAACGGCGTTAGATGAAGGCTATAATTAGAGAGAAGCGAATCAAATTTAAAAAAAACTTTGCGGCTATAAATATTTAGAGCATTTACGGGAATACCTGCCTCCGATATAAATAGTGGGGGTTGGTGTGCGGATCTTTGCTACCCATGAAAACCTACCCATGAAATGCTACCCGTTATATGCTACCCGAGATGATTTGCTACTCATTATATCCTACCCTTGCCCGTTTCCAACATATACATAAATCGACAAATTATAAATATATTTAGATTCTTCGAAATAAGTTTAATTTTAAATTCGGGGTGGACTTTATTATTTCCTTCGTATTTAATATTTACTAATCCACTAGGCTAACTTTATCTCTTACCAAAGAGGATTTTCATCTCTCTAAGAGATCAAAAAAGGTCCAGGTTTATTGTTGATATTGGTTTATTGATTTTCATGTCTTTCTAAGAAAGACTCTCTTTTATCTCTTTTCAAGAAAAGGTTCATAATAAAAAAAACCATAAACCAGATAAGGTATTCCTTGTAGTATAAATTATATTCAAGGAGATGTATGTAAATAGGTTTACATGATTCCATTTTATTTTAAAACTAATCAACCAGCGCCGTGAAAAATTTTCCTAGCCTGAAATTTAAAAAACCCTAAACCAAAATGAATATGTATAAATGAATAACTTGGTCAACTATGTACGTATCTTTCTCTCACAAGGGACACTTCCGAGGTGCCCATCGTCCAACCGCCTATAGAACGACCGATAGAACGGCCCTTCTGAGACCTACTTTTTATAGGGGGATTTGACCATCGACCAGTGTTTGATAAAAAACTGCCTTGTGGAACGCCCTATGCAACGAACGAAAGAACGACCCAAAAAAAGGCCATCTAAAATCAGTCCATGGAACTATTGATCGATTTAGGCCTTTGGTAAAGAACGGCCTACACCCTAACCTAATAGGTTTCTGGCTTTTTTCCCTTTTTAAAACGTGTTCTTACTCAAATTTTGCTCAAAAATAAGGTGAAGATTTGTCTCCAATTTATTTAAATAACGTTCCGCACTTTTTAACGTATACATACATACCTGCACTCCTTCTGGGGACTCATTGGCCGATGTTTAATGACCGCATTTTCTTCAGGAACTTCCTTAACTGGTAGGCACCAGAAGCACAAACACCATACCAAAATAGCGAACAAGATAACTAAGCCGCCCACAATGACGATTATATCCATATTTTACAAGATCTGCAGTAGATCCACACTTTTGATATTCTGTATGTTAGGCAGTCCTTCGTAACAATGACAGGTAGATAATTAACTAATTCCAGGCTTTTGTTCAATCCATATTAAAATGATAGACACTTTGCATTTCAACTGACTAAGAAATTTTTAGAAATTTCCCATTAATCCATTTCTCAGATATTAGTCTTAAGTGGCGTAAAAGTATTTCATTTAACTTGTACCAGTTAATACGTAATTGGTTAATTAACTAATTATTTAATGTTATTCACAATTGAAATAGAAAAATTTACTAGTCAGTCACCCGAAGAAATTCAGTTATTTAAGAAATAAGTAAAACGCTTGACTCACAATTACATATATTTGAGAGCAATCCATGTAACCTAGCAAAAGAAGGTTAATATTTTGAGTATATTATCTCACAC